ATGTCCAGAGGCTCTTCAGGGACCCAGTGCACCAGGAACTGGAGACAGGAAGAAGACACGAGTGCACTCACACAGACCAGCAGGCACTGCAGCCCCCAAGTGGAGGACACTTGAGCCCACCCTGAGTGACAGAGCCCGGGCTGCACAGGTGACACCACTGGCCCTAGGAACTAGACACTGCCCGTGGACAGGGTTCTGCAGTCTCTGGACACTGAGGATCTTGAGATGGGCTAGAATTATGTTAAAGGGGCCAGCATGAATTTTCCCAGTGCCTGCTCCTTGGGTCTCTCCTTTCACATCAAGAGCTGGTGTCACTGTTGCTGAATGGCCAGTCCATGGAGATCTTCCTACGTGGTGGAGCCAGGGAACCTGAGAAGGCAGGTGTGGGGCCCTCAGTGTTCCAGAACGTAGGACATTCATCACCCATGGGAAGGGGTTTGGCAGCAGCATGTCCTTGGTTGGACAAAGCAGCCTGAGGTGGCCAACTCTGCAGGAGGCCTTCTGCAGACAAGTATAAATACAACCCCAAAGGTGCCCACACTCCCCCCACATATGTCTGTGAACAACCCGTGCCCCAGAATATCAAGGACTTGGGGTCCTGCCACCCACACAGGGAGACCTGGATTGAATTCCCTGCTCCTGACTCTGGCCTCAGTCCAGCCAGGCAGTTGCACACATTCAAGGACTGAAACAGAGGGTGGCAGGACTCTCTGTGTCTCTCTCTATCAAGCAAAGTTTGTCTGTGATGGAGCAGTGGTTTGCTAGCCTAAGCATTCACCTGCAATGCCGGCATCCTACTGTGGACAGCTGTTCGAGTCCTGCTTGCTCCTCCTCTGATCCAGCTCTCTGCTATGGCCTGGGAAAGCAGTGGAAGATGGTCCAAGTCCTTGGGCTCCTGCACTCATGTGGGAGACACAGAGAAAACTACTGGTTTATGGCTTCAGATCGGCCCAGCTCTGGCCATGGTTTCCAACTGGGAAGTGAACCAGTGAATGGAAGGCCTTCTCTCTGTCTCTGCCTCTCCATGATAATTCTCTTTGGTTCAAACTCTGGCAGCTGGGCCCAGGAGGGTGGCAGCATTATCCCAAACATTTCTGGAGCCTCTACTGCTGGTCAGTGCAGTGTCCCACAGCCTCTGTCTTGCCTGTCAGCCTGGGGGAACAGATGCAGGAGCCCTGATTATCTTGGAATCCCCTTCAGGGTCACCTTCATTCTTCTGGACAAAAGCTGCATATTGTCAACTGACGCACTGCATTACTCCATCCTTTCCATCCAGGAAGGCCGTCAGCCGGCTTTCATTTCAACACCATTCCCCTCACCCTTGGTTAAACCTGCAGATTCTGTCCATGTCATACAAGCATCTTTTTCAAGGCACAGTCTAGCCACACCCTGGTGTTCTCTTCCAGAACACATTTCATTTGTAATATGGATAGACCCAACTTTCCAAATCTTCAAATTCTAGTTTCTTTTTGTTCAGAATTCCCAGAAATTAAATTCTCTCTTTGGACGTTACTATAAAGAGTCAGATGGCCATTGGCCAGTGCTGTGACTGTAGAACCCTAAGTTCCCACCTGCAGTGTCGGCATCATGTATAAGCACCAGTTCAAGTCCAAGCTGCTCCACTTCTTATCCAACTCCATGCTAAGGTGCCTGGAAATTAGGCAGAAGTTGGCCCACCTGCTTAGGCCCCCACACACATCTGGAAGGAGCTCCTGGCTCCTGGCTCCTGGCTTTCCTGACCCTTCCCTAGCTATTGAGGATTGACCCAGCAGATAAAATCTCTTTCCCAGTATGTCTGTATCTCTCCCTTTCAAATAAATTCTTTTGAAACACTGCCAGAAGCAAGCCCCTGAATTAGTGCTTTGCTGAGAATTCACCTCCATTTAATATCCGGTTTCATTCCTGGCAAGTTCTACCTTCTACAAAACATGCCAGAAACCAAGTTCCCTGCCTCTTACAAACAAGGTTCACCTTGTTCCTGGTCTTCCATCACATCTATTCCTCATTTCCACTGCAGACCTCACCAGAATCCCCATGCCCATCCATAGCTCAGTGTGCATCTGAAAATGCCTCCAGTGGGGACCTGTTCCCCAGGGGCAAAGCTGCTTCTGTCCTTGCAGGAATTCATTAGACCTGCACCTCAAGTCTCAGGACGCTAATCTGTGTCTGGTGAGACCCTGCAAGGACTTAAGGAATATGGACAGTTGTCCATGAAGCTCTGTGTCAGATGGGGTCTGGGATCACTTGCAGGCACTAAAGTCGCCGTTGCTAACGTTCTGTACATGAATGCGGTAGCATTTGCATTGGACCAAATATTCTCCCAAATGTTTTCAGTTGTCCCTAGAGATCTTATAATACCTAAAGAGACTATGATGTAAATGGTATACAGTGTGTAGAATAATTCAAGAGGAAAAAGATGGTATATGGACAGCACAGATGCATTCTTTTTCGATTTTCAAAATCACTGCTAATGGAATCTGCACTTGTGGTCCCATGGATCCCAAGGGCATCATGGGATAAGGCACTGTGTCCTATGGTCATGTAGGCTAGGAAGTCCCAAGACCTGCTGGCAGATGGCTGGCCTTCCAGGAGAGACACTTTGATTCTGGCCTGGAGTCCCAAGTGCAGGAATGGAAATATTCAAGGCAACCAGGAGGTTTTCCTGGATTTGCAGGCGTTTGGGCAGTGGAAGTACATGGAAGGTATTTCTCTCTCTCTCTCCTCCCCAGCACTACCACCTCCCTCTCCCCTTTTTCCCACTGTTCATGCTCTGCCTCTTCACTGTAATGCTGCTTTTCAATAAACTTTTTTTTTTTTTTAAAGAAGGCAGGTGCTGCCGGCGCTACGGCTCACTAGGCTAATCCTCCGCCTAGCGGCACCGGCACACCGGGTTCTAGTCCCGGTTGCCCCTCTTCCAGGCCAGCCCTCTGCTGTGGCCAGGGAGTGCAGTGGAGGATGGCCCAGGTGCTTGGGCCCTGCACCCCATGGGAGACCAGGAAAAGCACCTGGCTCCTGGCTCCTGCCATCGGATCAGCGCGGTGTGCCAGCCGAGGCGCATCAGCCGCGGCGGCCATTGGAGGGTGAACCAACGGCAAAGGAAGACCTTTCTCTCTGTCTCTCTCTCTCACTGTCCACTTTGCCTGTCAAAAATAAAATAAAATAAAATAAAATAAAATAAAATAAAATAAAAAGAAGAAGAAGGCAGGTGCTGACATCCTGGGACCATGGGTAAAGCCATCAATATGACAGCGGCATCCATGTCAGAGTGCCTGGTTCAAGACCCAGCTGCTTCCAAGCCATATTTCCTGCAGTAATGGGAGGCAGCAGATGGCTCAAGTTGTTGGATTCCTTACTTCAGCCTGGTTTAGCCGTGGCTGCCGCAGGCATTTGAGACGTGAATTAGATGGAACATCTCTGTGTGTGCGTTTCATTCTCTCTAGCTCTCCCTCTCTCTTATGTTTGCCTTGCAGATAAATAAATAAATTTCTTTAAAAATTGGTAAACTTGGTTCTGGCACTGTGGTATAGTGGGCTATGCCTCCACCTACAGTGCCTGCTTCCCACGTGGACTCTGGTTCAAGACCCAACTGTTCCTCTTCTGATCCGGCTCTCTGCTATAGCTTGAGAAAAGCAATCTACTTCATATATAAATATATATATATATATATATATATATATATAAATAAATAGAGAGAGAGAGAGAGAGAGATACAGGGTAAAAATCAGCACACCCAATATGAGATGTAATGTATTATAACACTGAAATTAAAAAATCCAATTGATAGAGAAAAGAATTCAGTGGTATGGGCTAACACGATATTTGCAATAACATTCCACGTTGGGGTGAGAATGCTTTTGAACTACAGAATGCCAGGACCCAGTCTTCAGGAAGAATTCTATCAGAAATCTAGTATGAAACTTGAATACAATCATTGACACAGGCATGAATGGTTAATGCATGGTAAAATTGTTAAAGGAAGGCCATTTTCAAAAAGGGTTTTATACATCTTCCAAGCAGCACTCTCCAAAGTTTTTTATTTCAACTCTGAAATTTTATTATCCAAAGTGATGCATTTTACAGAACAAAAGTAAAAGCAGGTATCAAAATCAGCAAAGAGTTTGTAAACTTTCTGCAGAGAGTTTCACCTAAGTCAGGGATGGTGAGAGTGGTATCCAAGGTAAAACCTGGATGACTGCTGATTTGTCTCTTGGCATAAATTACCAGGCGGTTTGTTCTGGAGGTACTGAATAACTTGTCACCATCACTGGTCAGTTGTTGAGAACCAATTTGAGTTGTCAAACATAGCAAAAAAAAATTTTACATTTTTTTTGTTGCATTGTGGCATTTTACTGAAGCGGCATTATTTTGTTTCTTCTTAGTAATTTCTTTTTGTTTGGAAAATTTTTCATCTCTTTTAGCATTTTCTCATTTAGAAAGATAACTAACTGAAATGGCATTGTACGTTGTTTCCTTAGTATTGCTTTTTTTGTTTAAGTTTTAAATATTTGCAAAGTTGTTAAATTTTACTTATTTGTCATTTTCTCCATTAAATGCAACAGTGAATAGGAATGACATTTTATACTTGGTCTGAATAACTGTTTTTCTTTTTTGTCATTTGTAAAGTATAATCATTTTTAAATTTAAAATTTTTTAGCATTTTTGTATTTACAAAAACACTGACCTGAAATGGAATTTTATTTTTATTTGCTGAGTTTAACATTTAAAAAAAATTTTAATTTATATATATTTCTAACTTTTTCCTATTTAAAAAGTTACTAAAATGAAGTGGCATTTTAATTTTCCTATTAGTATTTTCCTATTTTTTGTTTTTTATTGTTTTTAAAGTTGTTAAAATTTTTAATTTTAATTTTTTCAGTATTTTACTTTCAAAAGCACTTAAATGACATTTTTTCTAATTTTTTCTTTTTAAGTTTTTTAACAGTTTTTAAATTTTTAATTTTTTTAATCTTTTTCCTTTTAAGAAAAACAATGCGGTACCATTTTTCTTTTCTATTTTTACTTTAAAATTTTTTTTACTTTTTAAATTTTTAATTTTTTTTGGAATTTTTCTTTTTAAAAACACTTAACTAAAACAGAGAACACATATTGGGATCTGAATCAAAATTTTTAAGATTCCACTTACACTCCAGGACACTGGAGGCACTTGTGGGCCTGGACAGCGATATCTTAATGACAAGGTGTAGATTTTAGGATGCCCACGATGTGCTGACAGGATGTCTAAGGCAGCTGTTACACTGAGAGGAGGCACACTCAGGTGGAAACATAATTCCCTCCCTAGGATCCCAATTTGCATGAAAGGAAAACAATTGTCTTTATCATAGGCATGACAGACAGTGGAAGTAGGAATGGTAGCTGTGAGAAACAGGTCCACCCCAGGGCAGCGGTGCCATTGGCTCGGTATGTTCTTCGACCAGGAACACCTACTAAGCAGCGGGCATCCAGAATCTGTGAGGACCCGGTTTTCCATGACAGGGTTGGGGGCAGGCATATGGCCCCTGCTCATCCTGCAGCTGCCTCAGGCCAGCAGGAACACGGCCTTGCTGTTTCCTGGGGCTCTGGACACCTTGGCCCATGTCCTGCAGCAGGAGCCCCCAGTTCTCCTGCAACACTGAGTGGAGTTGGCAGGACCAGCAGCTCTAAGAGACGAGCGTCCTCGTGCTGAGGTCCTGCCCGCATCTGCCCTGCCTGACTCTGGGTGTGGAGAGAGGAGTGTTCAGAGAGGTGTCTGGTTCCTGATGAAGGCTCAGTCCACCTTGCCCACCTGGCCTCTCCCGGCCACACTGCTGCATTCATCACCATGAACTTGCTGTTATCACGCCCATCCATGGCCACCTCCTGGGTTGATGACCAGACCTCCACAAGGGCCGCTGCTCACTCCCTTTTTGCTCAGGCTCTGAGGGGTCACCCTCTCCACAGTTGTTAGGAACATGTGGAAGGAGCCCATCTTTAGGATGTACAGATCAACAGACAGCTTTCACCAACTGACCGATGCCAGGGTCAATGGACCTGATGGGCACACAAGATGTTCTCTGCCTCCTGCGGGGATGTGGGAGGGAGCACACAGCATCTCCTGCATCGGGTGCTTGGCCAAAGAGTGAGGCTGAGTGTAAAATTGAGGAAAGCACCAGAGATCTCAGGATGCAGAACCTGAGCCAGACACCTGGCCTGCGCCTTCACACAGTCAGCGTTCCCATCAGGGAAGACAGCAGAAGGGGGAGATGGTTGGGGTTCAAAAGGAGGAAAGAGACCCTTCCTGTCCTTTGGAGCCCCAAAGTCTCTTCCTCCTGCTGTCCTCTATGCGGAACGCTGGCTGTGTGAAGGAGGCAGGCCAGCTGTCTGGGTCAGGCTCCACGTCCTCGGAGTCCGATCCTCTCCTCTGCTCACATGTAGCCTTGTGCGCAGGAGCACTGTGTCTCTGACACTGCCCACACCGAGCTTGCCCCATCCAAAGGCAGTGTGTGCCCAGGGTCCTGTGCTGCTTGCTTCCAGCTCCTCCTGACCTCAGATCTCTGCAGGAGGCAGTTGGAGAGGAGCCAGGTGGTGTTCTCTCTAGAGCAGCTGTGGAGTCAGGCTTGGGTCTCCTTCGGTGTTCACTCAGATTGGAGGTGGAAGACTGTGCCAGCTCTCAGGGAAGCAGCCTAGTGGATAAAAATAGCCAAGGGCAGTTCATGGTGGTGAAACTGCATTCTTGGTGTTCTGGTTGCTGTTGAAGCGGAGCTCCTGTGGTAGATGTTTGGAAGAGGTGGGGGTGTTACGATCAGCAATACTGTTCTGTACTTCCAACTGTATTTGGGATCTGAAAGAGGGAGAGAAGAAAAATCAAAGGAGAGCTGGGTCAGGTCCAGGTGAGAGCTGCGCCTGCATCTGGGCCTCAGTGGGGCAGAGGCCGGGCAAACTCAATTCCAGTGGGGAGACTGGCTGAAGGGGGAGCCCTGGGCTGCTGAGAGGGAAGTGGCAGCCAAATGAGCAGAGTCCTGCCCTGAACTCCAGCCCAGCTCTGCAGTGCTGGGGAACCAGGGCCCTTGACCTCTCCTAACCAGGAGTGAGTGATGTCACCCCACGTCCTCCTGCTCTAGTTGCATTAGAAATGGATTTGTTTTCTGCAGTAAGCAAAGAGAGCCGGGAGTGTAACCACAGCACAACTCATGTCAATGGAACAGACACCAAGTTTCTCTGAAGAGGATTCCACATCTGGTTACACCTAGGACCATTCTGCTGTGTGCCTAATAGCTCACTCGCTCAACTCTGAAGGCAACATTAACTTTAAAACAGGCACTCTTTTGTCACCCTAGAGTTTCCCCATTTTTTTTTTTTCATTTCCCCTAGGAAATTTTCTTTTTGAGAATATCCTGTTTGTATCCCGGTCAGAGGGAAGGACAAACATGGGAGAATGAGACCTAAGAATCTGCATTGGAAATTGGCCTAGGAATAAAATCAGATAAAATGTGATTTTTCAATGTATATTTCTCAACCCAATAGAGAGAGGACTTGCAATCAAGTGAGTGGATGGTGAACAGCATGTTTTAGGGAGAGAAGTTCAACTTTAAACATTCAACTTGATTATGAGGGGAGGGATCCTATTTGGTGGGTCAGGTTTCTACATGACAAGGATTTCTTACTGTATCTTCTATTTCAAGTTATTGATCCAAACAGAGAGGCTTACAGCTCTACCCTATCTGAACAAACAGAAATGAGCTATCATCTGTGCGCAGTATAAGAAGGAATAAGTACATCTCACACACACACAGGATTACCTCTGTCTAGGCGTGAAGGCCCAGGAATCTGAATGCCATTGCCCACGTGTTGGTCTGTGGTTTTCCCTTCATCTCCCGGCCAGGGAGTCTCCATGCGAGGTGGCACTCCATGGGCTGTGGTTTCCCCTTCAGTCTTCTGGCCAGGGAATCAGCACGCAATTTTACTAACTGTGGGCTGTGGTTTGCCCTTCATCTCCAGGCCAGGGAACCTGCAGGCCAGTTCCCATTTCCTGGGCTTCCATTTTCCTTTGATCACATTTTCTTTTGGGGAACTTGGGACATCACTGGGGCTGATGCTATGACTCCCACACATGCTGGTGATGGCATCTTTGTGAGGACCTCCCTCCAGCGGGGAACGGGTCTTCCTCTCAGGGGCAGCAGCAAAACTCAGTTCTGAAATAGAACCACAGCCGTCAGGATTGGTATTCATGCTCTCTCTCTGGCAGTCAGGCCTGCAGCAGAGGGACAACAAGTAAGGCAAGGGGCCCTGGACAGTCATGTCCGAAGTGTGGGAGATGACATCTGCACAGACACTAATATGTTTTCAGTCAGGTTGATTTTATACATGTTCACTGATAATTTATCACTAGGCAAAAGCAATAAACATGGCTCAGATGATCACAATAGTCAACAAAGTAGAACTAATAAAACACACAGCTCTGAAGCTTTTAAGGCACAGAACCACACAGGCTCTCTGCTGAAGGTTTGGGGGGATGGAGCAGGATCACCAAACCTGGAGGGCATTGTCATGAGAGACAAGGACAGGGGAACACTGACAGCTGGAATGAACAACACTAGCACAAGAACACATGCATTCATACTTGCACATGCTTTGCTGAACATACACCAAGCACATCGATGCATAGGATACATGCCCCCAGTGCATGTCATATAGACATTAATACATATGATGTGACCATCACTTTTCTGGTCAGGTGAAGTGGGAACCTAGTTACAGGCACCTGAAGAATGGAGAGACAAGCTAAGGTGAAGCACAAAAGTCAGGAGGAAATCCCAGGTGGGAGGGAAGGCATTCCTTTGGCCTAGCACACACATCTCCCTCCTGAGACAGTGTCTGTGCACTTGCCTTCCTCCCCATGACTGCCCAGCCCTGCACTGGGTGTTTCTGAGACAAAGCCACACAACCACTGGTCTGTGGCAAAGCCAAGTGCAAGGCCTCATTGAGACCCTGAGTGCAAAAAGCCCGAGGTGAGAGACCAGGAACTTCAGGCCATGGGGGACTCCTGAGCTGGAATTCTATCTGGAGCACCCAAGGTTTCCTCCATTTGATGACTATGAACAAGCTCCAACCAAAAGCCACATCCAGACCGAGATAAGTCCCCAGGGCCTGAGTGCACAGTGGTCTGTCTCACCCAACACAGGTGCAGCAACCCAAGAATACAGAGGCCACCTGGCAGACCAGTGGAGTGTTCCCGTTCACAATGGAGCACTCACTGTCTACAACAAGAACAGAGCAGACAGGCTGTTTCTCCAGTGAGGACCAGGTGCTCCTAGAATGGGACCAGTCAGAAGCTTCCAGAAGAAGTGCAGGAGTCAAACACGTACCGTGAGAGTCTTGTGAGACATCTTGATCTTCAATCTCTGGGATCTCCCTGATGAGACTGGAGGGAGGGAAAGGTGGGTGAGAAACAGAAAGGGAACAGAAAGCCCCTTTCCAAGCTGTTCCTAAGAGGAGGCTTCCAGAAGTGGCTGGGCTGAGCAATGCACCACCCACAACTTTGTCCCTATCTGGGGAAGACTGGCTACTAATTCCCTAGTAGTCCATGCCACACTGTCTGCTCTGTCTCCGAGTTACCTGGAAGTGTATGTGGCATTTTGCTCTTGTACCTCCACTTCGTGGTATTGATTTTCTGCAAACAAATTCAGAGAGATTCACCGTGTTAAGCAGGTTTTGGGTCAGATATGGGTATCCAATGGCCACTACTACCAAGGGGACAGATTGTTCTCATGTGACAACAGGAGACTGTGACAGAAATCCTCCAGGAGGACTAAGTCGACATCAGGAGATGGGCTTGGGGAGCCATCCTGGGCAAGGGGTCAAATCTCCCTGTTCACAGTGGATCACCATCTCAATAACCTCTGTCCACAACCCTTAGAAACAGCCTGCAATGGTCCTCAGGGATTCTAAGCTCACAGCCCAAGAACTTTCTAGGAGGCACACTGCAGTCGTCTGGCTGCTCTCACTAAAGGACCCAGGTTGCTGACTGTGGAGAGGAGGTAGAACACTGGGAGAGAGCTATACATGGAGTCTGCATGCCCTGGAATGGAAACCTGTTTGATGCCACACAGAAGCTTGGCTATTCTAAGACTTGCTCATGAATAATCTCCCTCTTGTCTATGGGAACAATACAAGCAATTCAAGAGCATGTATTTCTGGATGAACTCTTCCCTAGTCAATTCATCTTCAAATGGAAATGCCATGGAGAACATGAATGACAGAGATGCCTATATGGATGCTGTGGCCTGGACAAGCATGGATGTCAAAGGGCAGAGCTGAGGTTTGGGATGGAATAAAAAGGAAGCAAGTGGCAACAGTCATCCTCCAAGGTTCCAACCAGGAGGGAGCACACGCCACCTGGGCACATGCTGCTGAGCTTGCTGTGAAATGGTCACCACTTTCTTCCATAACAAATAAACAACAATGAATTCTACTCCTCTTACAGCTCAATTCAGGATTTTGTGTCTACAACTACAAGTCTGTAGGTTTGGCATGTAGCAATGACCACTCATCCTCAGTGGGGATAGGAGTACAAGGACAGAGCAGTCACCAGGGACAGACATGAAGGTTTACCTACTCTCCAAAGTGATCATTCTGTACATAAACTGCCAACCAAACTGCTCTGGCTTTATGAGCATAAGCAGCTCCTGGACGCTTGCAGTCAGACATCCCAGGCCCAACTGGAGCCTAGAAATGTTCATCCAGGGAACTCTGTTCTGTGAAACAGCAACCATTTTTGACAGAAATGGATATGGGCATGCCTCACTGGGACCCTGAGTGCAAAAAGCCCGAGGTGAGAGACCAGGAACTTTCAGGCCATGGGGCACACCTGAGCTGGAGTTCTATCTGGAGCACCTCAAAGAGGTGCTGAACCTGCTCAGGGACAAAGCACACCAACGTCTTCCTAGTGGGAGATGTTGTGCAGGGCCTTTAGAAGTTCTTGCTTGCAGACTGGAACTTTTCTACTGATATTTGAAATTCTCTCAACACAATTTCTTACAGAGGAAAAGTTTTAAGTGTGAATACCCATAGCAGCCACATCGCTGGCATGTCTGCGGAAAACAAGTGGACTGAGCCTACAGACAAGGGGAGGCAAAGGAGTGGTCTATGATTGCAATGCACACAAGGTGGGGTGACCTGGGAGAGTGACCTTGTGGAGCCTCAGGATCCTCTCCCCAAGGTGGGGACAGAATCTCCACCAGGAGAGGTCCTGTGAGGATTGCATGGATCAGGACGGCACAGGGTCTAGCACAGCACAGATGTCCGTGAGAGTGGCCTTCATAGCTGTGTGTGAATCGCTGTGACCTGGGATGACTCTGCACATCTCTGTACTTCTGTACAGAGGACAAGCACATGGTCTCACCAAGAAAAGGTGCCTGCTGATCTATAGCACTGGGAGACAACTGTCATTGCCAATTCTACTGCAGAACATTGAGAAACAGGGAAGGGCATCAGGATTTCATGATTTTCCTACAGAATGATTTGATGAGTGAAGGTGCCTCAAACCCTAAAGATTCCTCCTGAGAGAAAGTGTAAAAGTTCATCGAAGTTCAGATTCAAGGAAATTGGACTTTTTCTCTGCCCCCACATAGGAAGCCATACTCCAGGGCTCCTACTCAACAAGAGGCACTCTGCCTGTGATGACATGAGGGGAACCTCAGCCTCACTCAGATAGTAAATAGATTCCTGTCCTGGTGCAAGATTATGGAGGCTTTGCATGAAAAAAAAATGCCAAGCTTAGACACTGGATTAAAACTACAGACCTCATATGAGCACACATCAGCGCTGTTAAGCAGACGATGAGAACCACACCAGGGACACAGGTGTGGGACTGGACTGCTGTGCTCAGCACCAAGCTGCTTCAGAGAAAACAGAGTCTGCCGACCAAGGGTACCGAGTATCAGATAACTAAGGAAACACTGTACAGACTGCCAAAGCTTTAAGCTTGAGAATTTTGGAGGTTGCTGTTTACAATTGCAACTGTTGTTAAAATTAAGAACATCACAGTGACTTGTTAAAGAAGCCTCTCCAAGAGAGATGGTGTTGGTAGGTGTTTGCCATCATGCCTTCCCATCCCCTCCTTCCCTGTCTTGATGTCAAAAGCTGCACCTTGAAAGTGGGCCTGGTGACGAGCAAGGGTTTCCCCCATTTGATGACTATGAACAAACTCCACCCAAAAGCCACATCCAGACCGAGATAAGTCCCCAGGGCCTGAGTGCACAGTGGTCTGTTTCACCCAACACAGGTGCAGCAACCCAAGAATACAGAGGCCACCTGGCAGACCAGTGGAGTGTTCCTTTTCACAATGGAGCACTCACTGTCTACAACAAGAGCGGAGCAGACAGGCTGTTTCTCCAGTGAGGACCAGGTGCTCCTAGAATGGGACCAGTCAGAAGCTTCCAGAAGAAGTGCAGGAGTCAAACAAGTACCGTGAGAGTCTTGTGAGACATCTTGATCTTCAATCTCTGAGATCTCCCTGATGAGACTGGAGGGAGGGAAAGGTGGGTGAGAAACAGAAAGGGAACAGAAAGCCCCTTTCCAAGCTGTTCCTAAGAGGAGGCTTCCAGAAGTGGCTGGGCTGAGCAATGGGCCACCCACAACTCTGTCCCTATCTGGGGAAGACTGGCTACTAACAGTGCAGACAGGATGCAATGTCTTCCATTTGAGGAGGTTCCTTGCTGAACCACCTGGAGTAGACGACCTGAACGTTATCACAGGGCAGCTTTCATGTGAGGAAAAATGAAGTGCTCATATGAAGCACGTGGCAAACAGAAAGCAAGGTAAAACAGAAACCCCACTGCCTTCACTGAGAATAGTATGTGTGAGTAGATATATAATATTTACACATGAATCAACTACAGCCAAATATTAAATGTTATAGAATCTATGTGTGCTGGTAATCTTCTTTATGCTTATTTGTACTGACTGAAGTCATTTTAAAGTAAACAGGCAAACAGAACTCTCATCTTCTTGAAGAAAGTGTATTAGGTTTGAGGTGATAGGTGAGTAGCAGAGCTAGTGGAAGGGCATGGAGACAGAAGCAGAGAGAAACAGAGGATTTCCTCTGTGATGAGGTCATTAGGGACTCAGCCTGGAGAAATGACTCTCAGTTGGTCCACTAGTACCCCTGAGTATTTGGAAAATGAAAACTGGCTTCAACAGATTTATGTAAATTACATGCAGAGTCCATGAATTCCCCTTTTGGGATACTAGGGACCATCACGGCTTTAGCCATCGGTCTTATTCTCAGTGCTGAGGCACTAGTTTCTGTCAGGTGGTTTCATGTGATTAATGGGGTGCAGAGAAGCTCATGAGAAGAGGAGGCCTGTGAGCAGCACCCTGCCCTTCACTGCACGCCAGAGAGGCAATGATGGCAAGGAATCCCTGGAGAGGCTCCTTCATGGAGTCAGCCTGCTGCAGGTCACTACGTGGAAAAGGTAGGGAGAAGTGGAAACCCGGACTAGTACCCTAACGATGGCAGACAGCAGTGCTGACGGGGTGCCGCAGGGTTGGCTCCATTGATGGGAGATGCACAGTGGCACTGCTCTTCTTCTCTGGACCTGGAGTCTGCCCGTGTCAGCAGTAAGCTCGCTGCGCAGGGTTCCTAAGACTCACCTGCAGTGTGACAGGGCTTGTGCTTCCTCTTGCACTTCATCATTGTCATTTTCCTTTTCTGCAAATGAATTCAAATAGGCACAGTCACCTAGGATGATCCCTCAAAGCCTGTACAATGCGCTGTCCAGCGCTGCCACAGCACACCAGTAGCCTCAGTGTCACTGCTGACTCCTCAGATAGGAATTGTCTAGAGGGTTGAGGTCATTTCTGAGGGAACTAGCTTGTTCATATTTTTTTTTTTCTTGACACATGAGGTAAACCTCCCTATTCCTCCAGTCATCACACCAATCATCGCTGACCTGATTCCCTACACAAATGAAACAAATTTTCCCAAGTGTGGGTGCTGTGGCATAGCAGGTAAAGCTGCTGCCTTTAACCCCAGGATCCCATGTCAATGCCGGTTCAAGTCCTGGCTGTTCTACCTCTGATCCAGATCCCTCTAATGCACCTGGGAATGCAGTAGAAGATGGTCCAGTACTTGGGCCCTGCACCCACATAGGAGACCTGGAGGAAACTCCAAGTTCCTCACTGGGCCTGATCCAGTTGATGCCACTGTGGCCATGTGGGGAGCAGACCACGAGTATGCAAGAGTTGCCTCTCTCTCTACTCTCGCTCTTCTCTCTCTCCCTGTTTCTCTCTCTAATTCTGCCTTTTATAAGGTGAAATCCAATCTAAAATAATATTCTCTGGAGACGCTTGGTTCCTAGTGTGATTCCTTTCCATGAGAGGAAGTGCACTGCCCATGGGTCTCCAACAAGCTCTCTTGGTAGTTTGTGGTTTACCATATTTTGTACATTGAGGATAAGATAAAAGGTGGCACAGGTGAAGTTTCAGTTCTGGGTATCAGAGTGAATGTGTGCAGCACAAGAGAAAACTTGGCTACTCATGGAACCTCTAAGCACAGGTCTCAGACTTGCAGCCTGGGGACACACTACTAAAGGAATGGCAAAACATTCTGTATGTGTGGTAGGTGAAATGATGCCAACTTTGAAGGGACAGCTACGTGGTTGGGTTCAATGAAACAGGGGGAGTATCTTGACTGCAATGGAGACGAGCATGCTGCTGGCTCTGACAGGAAACAATGTCACATGACAGGGATGGGGAATGACTCGTGTGATCACCACTGCAGGGGCAGAGGGGTCTGCTTCCTTAGGAACGGATGGTAGAGACAAGCATGAGATGTGCTGCTTAGGTTGGTGTGCATCTGTCACATTCTTCTGGCAATGACTGAGCACTGGAATCTGAGTGACAAAGCCACACAAGGAATGGGAAGACAGCAAGGCTGGATGGGTCAACCACACCTGTGCAACAGACTGGTTGAAGAAGAACAGATGATGAGAATGTCTCAGACCATCCCATGTCCAGAAGCCCTCTCAGTCAGGTGGGAGTGATGAGTGCAAGGATAGTGCGGGATCCTGGGCAAGCAGAGGGGGTTGTATCACCTCACAGTGGGGGACCTCACCGTCTGCATCTGGAGCAGACAGCACGTCCTGATGCTCCAGGGAGCACCAGCTGCTCCACGTGGAATGGTCAAGCTCAGAAACGACTGGAGAAATCGAGGGAGTGAGGTAGCACTCGTCCAGCGGGTCATCTGGGTCTTCCCGCTCTTGCTCCTCTGGGAGCTCCCTGCTGAGATGGGAGGGCAGAGACACTGAAGACACACATCACAGGTACAGAAGGGACTTTGTCATCAGACTACAGGTTAAAATATGTGAGGGATTTTCAAAGGGGGAATATAGAGGGAAACAATACAAAAGGGAACGTTATGAACAGAGCCATTTCATCATTGGCTGAATGTTCCAAATGGCTCTAGTCACCAGTCTCTCCAGCATTTGGATTCCCTAGTAGTCCATGCTACACTGTCGACTCTGCCTCCGAGTTACCTGGATGTGTATGTGACATTTTGTCCTTGTACCTCCACATCGTGGTATTGATTTTCTGCAAACAAATTCAGAGAGATTCACCGTGTTAAGCAGGTTTTGAGTCAGATATGGGTACCCAATGGCCACTACTACCAAGGGGACACATTGTTCTCGTGTGAGAACAGGAGACTGTGACAGAAATCCTCCAGGAGGACTAAGTCGACATCAGGAGATGGGCTTGGGGAGCCATCCTGGGCAAGGGGTCAAATCTCCCTGTTCACAGTGGATCACCATCTCAATAACCTCTGTCCACAACCCTTAGAAACAGCCTGCAATGGTCCTCAGGGATTCTAAGCTCACAGCCCAAGAACTTTCTAGGAGGCACACTGTAGTCGTCCTGGCTGCTCTCCTAAAGGACCCAGGTTGCTGACTGTGGAGAGGAGGTAGAACACTGGGAGAGAGCTATGCATGGAGTCTGCATGCCCTGGAATGGACACCTGTTTGATGCCACATGGAAGCTTGGCTATTCTAAGAGTTGCTCATGAATAATCTCCCTCTTGTCTATGGGAACAATACAAGCAATTCAAGAGCTCTCTCCCCAGGCCCTTTAGGATTTATTTATCTAAAATCTAGGAGTGTTGCTATAGTACTGACTCATCCCTATCAGACTGATCATGGTGAAGAAGGGTGGAGGAGTTTCTATAGAAGGCTGAATGAACTCCAGACACCTCGCATAAATAAATCTATGCATGTTATAGAGAAACATTGAACATGACTTTGTAGGGATATGTCTGGATTCAGCTATGTTTTTGGAACTGTATAGGAAGTACAGTAAAGACGACTTTATGTCCTAGGTTTTGAGATGATTGCATACTAAGATAAGCTGTCTTAAAGGAGATAGAGACTAGGGATGGAAGTCGGGAAGCTAGGATCACAACTTGGCCCACACATGGGAAGTGTTACCAAAAGCCTGCATGGGGCTAGAACTCCAGGGATGCAGGAGTAGCACAGAATGATATCACTGCAGGTGACAGCAGGCATTATTTCTAAGTTAGAGGGTCTGAAAGGCACTTCCTACACAGGGCCTAAGTATGTTCCCACAGGCTAGGGTGCAGTGAGACAAACAGCATCTGAGGGGAGGGAAGCTCCTTGACTCTCCTGATGTCTATGTTCAGTGCCACAACCTGGACCTGATGGAAACCAACTGTGTCTGCAGGGCCTGTGCTCAAAAGCAACCCTCAACCTGAGAGTCCCTGTGTACAAAGAAGGGAGAGGCTACCTGGGAGAACGGTGACAGGTTCTTCTTCTTGTGTGAACAAGCGTGTTCCCAGTCTACACCTGGCACACTGTGGGTGACCTCAGCATCAGGAGACATTTGCACAGTGCCCTCAGGCAGGCAGGAGTCACTGGGCAGGTGGTCAACAACACCAGTGGTAGATGTTTCCTGCTGTGAACTTGGTGGGGTTTCCATCTCATCCACTTCCAAGAGCTCCCTGAGAAGCCAGGTGGGATAAGGATGACAGAGATTAAACCAAGAAGGAAGAGACACCAGGGAGTTGGGCTGGTTTGGATGGGGTGCATAAGGGATCGGTCATAGACAGCATAGAGGTGGTTCCCTCCACTCTGGACACCGCTGTTGCTGCCTAGGGTGAGAGGGCCTGGGAAGAGATCAGCCTCTGCTCATCACACTCCATACACAGCAGCTAATGACAAAGCAGCCTCCACTGTCAGCTGCATGGTACAGTCACAGCACAAGCACACATTGACAGCTGCGCGGGCTGACACCCTGTGCTCAGGTTGGGTTGTTGCAGTGTCCTGCAGCCATGTGATCAAGGTCCTAGGGGCTTGGCAGATTCTAGAGATGTGCTACCTTCTGGGCCTTCTCTTAACCAAGTCACAGCACAGAAACATGGTTTTGTACTGGTGCTTTTCTGCAGCTGAACTTGGCTGGATTCTTCCTAACTGATCCCTTTGCACATTGCCTCTTTGCTAGTTTTCTCTGGTGAGAACTTCAGCTAACTCTGTAGAAAGCAGATGGGCATCTTCCTCGGCTTTTCCAGAGAGCAGAGAACAGGGGTTCCCTTTGTGTGCAGGCAACACCGAAGGCTGTGAGTTCATGATGGATCCTATCAGCAACTAGGAGCAGGACAACAGACAACTACTTTAACAGGGGGATTTCCTAGTTGGCAAGGAAGGACTCAACACAATCTGCAGTTGTGTTTATGTGTGTGTCTCAACTCCATGACTGTCTCGGCCCCTTTTCTGTTCTTTAGGAGACCCTGTGCATCCTTCACCCATTTGTTGCCAGCTCTTAATCATTCACTATTACCTGTCAACAACAGGTCCTTGTGCTGGTGTTTCCTCCTCTTCAATATTTTCTGTAAACAAATTCAGAAATGTCCAATCAGATATTATCAGCCCCCTTCCCCACTACAATCAAGGTGGCCTCTGTGTGCATATGAATATCTACATATGGGCCAATAGTGGACAAAAACTTCAAATGTTCTGTGTTTAAAGAAACGCCTTGCCATTCTCTTGTGGTCCATCAGGCTTCATGTCTCTGCACTTGGAGGTCAGAATCGTGGCAGATTCTGCCTGAAACTAGGCCAACATCCTTTGCTCCCATATCACTGGAAGCTACTCAAGCTTCCCTGGGACTTCTGCCTGTTATCCCTCAATCCTGGCCACTAGTGGGAGACCAAGGCATGGGTTTCTACATTCCCATGGGTCTCACAGAGAACCTCCATCTGTCATGAAGAAGCAAAGAACCCGACTTCCATCCCTCCCTCACAGGCCCTCCAAGTTTTCTCTGGCTGTATCATTAGAGAAATTCTCTCTGTGTTATGAGTTCCCTTCTCAACAGCTTTCCGCACTTAAGTTCTACTAACTCTAGTGCCTGGTCTGACACTCCCAGGGAGAGGAGGGAGGGCCTTTGTCCTATTGGGAAACATACAAGCAACAGCTTCCACCTTTGGTGGTTACATCTGCTCTGCCCCAGATTTTTGGTCCATTTAGTGAATGAGGAGAGAGAAATCCTGGATGGAGAAAGCAATCACCTGTCTACCTCTTGAAAACCACACTGAGCACAGAGCTGGAGGCTTCCATTCAACTTAGCTCAGTGACTTTGTTCAGCCTAACAGCGGCCTCACTTCACAAGGTCTTTCTGGTCTTCATATGAGGATGGACACTGCCTCTTGCCCCAAAGGCCAACCCCAATCAGGAAGGGAGGAGACCTTTGGGATACTGCAAACTTGAAAGACTTCTCTGCCCCTATCTGTGTTTCCCAGGCAGTCCTGGCCTTGTCATGGCACACATGTTCAGTAGCAAGAAATGCTGAGGCAATGCCCATGGCAGAAGGATGAATGCATCTGAACCCTGAGGCTTCTCAAATGATGGCCTGTGCCCAGCTCACCTGCTCCAAGCAGGTCCTCAAGGCACGCTGACAGCCGGACAGCCTCAGTGAGCAGTCGTCGGAAGCCCTGCCCTTACAGGTCTCAGGGTCATGCACGGTGAGCAAATCCTTCAGGTACTGCTGCAGGGTGTGGGCTAGATTGCGCCCCCCTTTGGACTTTGGACGTAACTGGGAAAGTTCTTGGTCCTGATCTTCAAGGATGCCACGGCAATGCCTAAGGTGCAAGAGTGGAGAAAGTTCTAGATGGGAAGGGATGAGTGCTAAGTTCTCTGTGTTTCAACAGATTTTCATAACAATGCCTTATAGAGCCCTCAACCAGCAGCACCACTCAGGTTTGGAGAAGTACCTGTGCCGAGAAAAGCAAAAGGGCAAAACAAGGCCTTGCTCCCACTGTTAGAGAAAGATCTTGTCACAATTCCTGAGGTTCCATTCGGTCATGTTCTATCAGAAGTGCAAGGATTCTTTCCTTCCTCACCTTCATAAAGGTGCTAATTCAGTTCCTCCTTCCAGCCACAGGCATTTCCATGTAGGAAGACACACAGTGTACAGTGCAGTGACTGGGAATCATGGTGCACGCAGGGGTTACATGGCAAGAAACAAGAATGAAGGTCTGGCAGGGCCAAGCTAAGCATCAGTCTTCTACATCAGGAGGTGATGGTGAGTAAGGGTAAATGAGGATTGATTGCAAGATGACCAAACAGAGGAGCCCAGCATGCCCTCCACCTCCCCTGAGAAGACCCAATGCAGCTCCATCTCGAGGTGAGTGCCCACAGAAAAGCACCTCCACACTAAGGGAACCATGAGAACACGGGAGGAAGAGAGAACAGGCATAGCACCACCTACAGAGGACCAAAGCTAACCGGTGACTGGATTCCCAGAAACACAGCCACGGGGATCTCCTGTTGCAGAAGAGAGAGTAAACAGGAGGGCCCCCTGGGAGCCCATCCAGCTGGACACCTTACTTACAGACTCTCCGCACTTGCAGCTCTGAATTCAGATTCCTCTGCTCCCTCCTTGTTTCATAACATCTGAGACACGGGGCTTTGCTGTAACTCTCTGCCCTTGTTTGGCACAGGCTGGCTCAGTTTTTGATTTGGGCTCCCACTAATGAAACACATCCCCACCTGCCTGCCCTACACAGAGAGCCTCACCTGAGCAGCTCAGCAGACCTGGGCTGCTTTGGCAGGGGCTCTCCACGTGAGCTTCTTGATCAACATGGACTCCATGATGTCTTTTTTTATTATTATTATCTATTCATACCATTTTATTTGGGAAATAAACAGTAATTGAGGAGGAAAAATGTATTTTCATTTTAATTTCTCCTGAAGGGAGAATTTTTTCAAAGTACCTATTCACTTTTACTTTCATTGTAAAATGAATTTTTTACCATTTCTTTTAAAAATTTATTCATTCATTTATTTTAAGGAATATACATTTCATAATACAGCTTTAGGTATATAGTTATTCTTCTCCCCATACCCAGGGTACCACCCACACTCCCAGCCCAGCTCCTCTTCCCTCTCTACTTCTCAATCTCATTCTCCATTACGATGCAGTTTCAATGAACTTTGGACACAGAAGACACAACTCTATATTGGAGTAACGATTTCAACAATTCCCACAAACACACCCCACAAGAATAAAAACTGGTTGAGAAATGTTGCACTGTAACTCTCTTTTAATACAACTCATGGAGGACAGAGGTCCTGCATGGGGAGTCAGTGCACAGTGACTCCTGCTGTTAATTTCACAAGTAGCACTCCTCTGTATGTTGTCAGGGACCACACAAGGCTCATGACATGAGCTGACTAGGCTATGGAAGCATTTTGAAAACTCTGTCCGTATTTAGACAAGGCCATCAGCAAAGTGGAAGTTCTCTCCTCCTCCCTTAGAGGAAAAGTGCATCCTCCTGTGATGGCCACTTCTTTGTCTGGGGTCCCACAGTGATCCCACATGGAGAACATTGTTTGCCACAGTGCCTTGGCTTTCCATGCCTGAGATGCCTCAGTTCTCCCTTCTGAGCTGCCCCACTGGAGACACCACACCCCTCCCACCTGCCTGCCCACACAGAGACCCTTACCTGAGCAGCTCTGGGACCGTGGGCTTCTCTGCCAGCGGCTCCTCAAGTGGAGCTTCTTGGTCAGTATGGACTCAATGATGTTTTTAAACTTCTCACAATCTGGGGAAAGACAGACACGCAGAACTCAGGGAGTGCTTTTGTAGTCAGTGCCTGCTGAAGACCAAAAGAACTCCAGGGCCAGGCTCCAGATTGGGGTTTCACATCTTATTTCATCACCTCATACATAGCATCTGAATTTCCTATTTAAGATATTATTATTTATTATTTGAAAGGCAGAGTTCAGAGAGACAGGAAGAGAGAGAGAGAGAGAGAGAGAGAGACTCCATCAGCTGTTCACTGCCCAAATGACTGCAAGGTTGAAGCTTCACCAATCTGAAGCCAGGAGCCAAGAGCTGTTTCTAGGTCCCATATGGATGCTGGGGCCTAAGCATGTGGTTATCTTCTACTGCTTTTTAGGCCATAGCAGAGAGTTGGATTGGTAGTGGACCAGCCAGAATTGAACTAGTACTCATATCGGATGCCAGCACAGCAGGCAGTGGCTTTACCTGCCAACCCACAGTGCTGGCCTGCTCTTTCCCAATAAAATGAGAAAAAAGGACTTCAAAGATACAGAAAGTGACTTGACACGGTGATGCCACCGGTGTTTACAGAATCAGAATTCCCAGCCCCTGAGCTCAGACTGAATCTGAGCACTGGACTCAGCAAGCCTTGCAGCCTCTCAGGTCAAACACAAACCTGGGGCATGAAGTCGTCACCTTTTTGTCATGATTAGGAGCTTGATAAGGGTGTAGGACTGTTTCCTCACTTGGGAAAGATTTTCAAGTGTATGTTATTTCAGACTTAAAGGGACCACCTTTCATGGACCTGTGTAGAATACAATGTATAACAAAGTAAGGCCTGAGGCAATGGCCCAATAGAAAGTATAGTTCCTGCTAAATTGGAAACAGTACAATGTGGCCTCATGGATTCTGTTGGTCTGAGCAAGGAACCATCCTTGGAGTTGTATAGGAAGAAGGAGCGCATTTGGTTGTGACAATCTACAGAGGCAGGAGTTATGATAGCACTATGAGTGGAAGAGAATCAAAGTCACAGAGAAGGTGGGCAATGGGGGGGCACCCAGGCGAGTGGCCCTGATCCCCACCCTACACCCTGGCTTGCTCCCACTCCCAGGTCTCAGGCACCGACTTCCTCTTCTGGAAGAAGAACTTGTGCTCCAGGAGCAGGACTTTGCTCTCAGCCGGGGAGGCTGTGTCCTGAGGTTGTTCCCATGGATACCAGAGTTCCAGTGCACAGGAGACTGTCTCTCTAGAAGCACATCCTGCTCACTCTGAACACATGTCCACTTCTGGACCTAGGCAGTGCTTTGCCAATGGAACTCAACGGAGGCTTGAATTGAGTGAAATGTGTTAGCCCCAGAAATGAGGCCCACAGGGTTGGTATAAGGCTGCAGGAGCTGACACAGACAGGATGATCATAAACATGCACTCAGTATGGTAGAGCCTGACCCTGAGGACAACAGGCAGCTTTATGCCTCATCAGGAATCCATGCCAGATTCAGCACTCCTGTCACCCTACACCTCACTGCTAACTTGGAAACCTTGTGAAACCCTGGTGTCAGCTTGGGAGTGTGGTCCAGGAGGAAATTAAGTGCAGCAAAGAAGAAGAAAATCACGTAGTGAGGCCATCTGGTGCCTCAGGAGGAGATACAGGACAATCATCACTGTGGTGAAATGACCCGAGAGACTTACTGTTTTTTCAGCTCCTTGGCCAGGGCAAAGTTTGTACCTCAGCTATGAGAAACTTCTCCTTGAGCTCCCAGTAGTCCTGTTGGCTCTTTGCCAGCTGGGATTGCAATTGCTGGCACTCGAGGTCGTTCAGTCTGCCACGGGATCTGATGCAGGGCTGTGGGATCCTGCCATGCTGATGGTGTGTCACAGCAGGAAACAGGGGCTGGGAGAGGAAACCCAACACAGGCGAGGGTCAAACAAATGACATCCAAGAGTTTCAGGTAGGCTTGAGGGGTGACAATAACTGTCCAGCTTCACTTACTGATGTGAAACACCTGATCCACAGCCCGACAACACTGGGAAGTTTCACTGCACAAACAGGATAAGACTGCCAAGCTAGATTGAAGGCACTGCCTTAGCTCAGTCTCTGCTAGGACTGGCTGTTGTGTGGCAGCTAACGGTCTGCCGTTGCCATCACAGAATTAGAAGGTGGAGGGCGTCACGGAATCTTTGGAACTCTGCCTTCCAGGGGCCTAAGCTAGGTTGAGGCACAAGACCCCCACTGGTGGGGACAACCTACCATCTGCCAGTCTCTAGTTATAGATCCTGCACTGACACACAGACCCTGTCCCCAAATCACCTAAGCATGTATCGTTCATATAGTCATGCAGGTGTATGAAAATACAAGGCAGAAAATGTGTCCCAACAGCCTTCCTTCTCTGCTGTTAGAAGTCACCACACCTGCTGATTAAGAGATCACAAGGCTTTTCTACCTGTTTGAAATGTTGAGTTTAAAGTTTCCATGATACATGGCTCATTTCATTTTCTGAATGAAATTTTGAGAGCTCTTTTAGTTGTCTGACAAGAATTGTATATCAAGTATGTAATTTCAAATGTTTTCTCCTGTGTTGGCCTGTAAGCTATTCATCTTCTTTCAATGATTTGAACAGGAAATTTGAACATGTTGGGACATTTATGAATTATTCTTTATTACGTGTAGTTTGGGTATAATACCTAAAAAATGTAATCTCATTCAGTTGAAAGACTTTGTATTTTTCTTCTAAGAGGTTGAAATTGGCACAAGTGTTTGGCACAGCAGTTAAGATGCCACCTGGGTGCCCACACCTGGATCGGAGTGCCGGGGACGAGTCCTTGTTGCTCCCCTCCAGCTTCCTGGTAGTGCACA